CCCCTCGCCTTGTTTTGTGCCGCATGTGTGCACGCCTCCCCGCCCCTCGCCTTCCGCGCCAAAGGTGTGTGCGAGCGCCATGGCCGACGGCCTGCCGATGGCGTTCCTCCAGTGGTACGCCCTGGAGCCCGCGGGGATCCCCATGTAAGCAGGGCGTACGCCGTAGAGTGCACAGTTGCGTGCACCGTGAAACACACGGGGAGTTTGCTGTCAAGGTGGTCGACAAGCGCGCTGCCGGGACCGGCGACACTGGCGGTGTCTTCTTTGGCACACAACAAGTCAAGCAGGCTGTTGGACTCCACCCGCACGTGGTTCGTCTTGTGGGGCACGTTGAGACCAGCGGACGACTCTGCCTCGTTCTCGACCTGCTGAGTGGCGGGATGCTCCCTGACCGCATTGTTGCTCTCTCGCACTACAGCGAAAAGTGCGCCGCGGAGCTCGTCCGGAACGTCCTCTCCGCCCTCGCCCACGTCCACTCCAGGGGGTACCTGCACCGTGACCTGAAGCCAGAGAACCTGCTGCTCCGCCACAGGGCGACGGCCGCCAGCAGCGACACGGCGTGGCTTTCGGACGTGTGCCTCGCGGATTTTGGGCTGGCGGGCAAAATCCTTGGCGGTGCGTGCTGCGGCACACCGCCCTACATCGCCCCCGAAGTCATCATGGCGGGCTACTACGGCACCCAGAGCCAGCCCTACGACGCCAAGTGCGACATTTGGTCGCTGGGGGTGGTTTCTTACCTTCTCCTAAGCGGTCGAATGCCCTTTGGCGGGCACTCCCACAGGGAGACGTTCAGGCGTATTGTGTCTAATGACTGGGGCTTCATTGGGGAAATCTGGAAAAAGATATCGCCAAACGCAACTGCCTTCGTCGCCGCATGCCTGACACCCGACGCAAACAAACGGCCCTCGGCAAAGGAGCTACTTCACCACGCCTGAATAGCAGGCGGGACACCGGATATCCACCTGCAGGAAAGCCAGGAGAAACTTCGCTGCTTCAACGCCAGAGAAAAGCTGCGCGCCGCGGCGCGTGTGTTTTGCATCACACACGCTCTACTGGGCCGCCTTGATTTCACCCCGCCGTTTATGAAGTACTTGTGCCACCCGGACAAGCTCTCAACAGTCGTGAGGGTGCAGTCGCAGACGGACCGCGCCAAGGTGCATGAAGTCGATTTTGGAAAGGCCCTCCAGCATGCTGCCGGCTGGCGATTGCAGGACTGCTGCACGTGCCGCTGTGGCCTTGTCTGCCGCCACATCCAGAGCGTGCACGAGTACCTGTTTGTTGGCAGGCGCAGCATGGACGTCTACCCCTTTTTGGACGAGCTCGCGCTTCTTCGTCGGGAGGCGGAGCTCGATCTTGAGGAGGCACCAAACCGCAAGGACGCTCATGAGCGCCTCGTGAAAGTGTCCCGCGCGATGGATGCCGCGCAGGCGTTTTCGCTTGCATTTGCAGCCGCAACAAGCGATCAGCGCAAGCCGAATTTTATGCTTGCACTGGCAGAGACGCCAAACGAAACAGCGAGCCCGGCACACGCTTCGCCCCACAAGGCCGCCAAAGCCTCTGGAGGGCT